CTAGAGGAGGCTCTGTCCCTGGCCTCTTCCAGTTCCTGTGACCGCGGCTTCTGTGGCTTGGAGCTGCGGCACTCCAGTCTCTACCTGTGTCCTTCATGGTCTCTCTGTGTGTCTGCCTCCTGCTTTTTCTTAGAAGGGCACTTGTGATGACATTTAGGGCCCACTTGGATAATCCAGGATTATCACCTTATCCAAAAGTCCTCAATTTTATCATTCTTACAAAGCTTTGCTAGGTCAGGTAGCATATACAGGCATCATCAGATTACAACCTGATACGCTGGTTCTGCTCAGTCAAACACAAACCAGCAGTCAGATGCAAATGTATGTCTGCACAAAAATCTCCATACAAATGGTTATAACAGCTCTATTTATAATAGTCAGGGCCAGGGATATAGCTCAGTAGCACAGCACCAGCCTGGGCAATTAAATAGGACTCTGTTTCAAAAATGCAGTAAAAAATAAAAAGTGCTCAGGCCAGGGATATAGCTCAGTGGCACAGTGCCTGCCTTTGGGCAAGTGCAAGGTCCTGAGTTCGAGTCCCAGGACCAAAAAAATAAAAAGAGAACATAGTTCAGTGGTAAAGCATTTGCCTAGCATGTGTGAGTTACTTGGCACCTAGTACCCTCCTCCAAAACCCACAAACTGGTAACAACCTAAATGTTATTGCACAGACAAATAAGACAACAACACCATGGAATATTACACAGCTGTAAAAAGGAGTATACATACGCAATGACTTGGATAGATCTCAGAGATATTAATTAGGCTGAGTGAAAAAGAAAACAATTTCAAAAGGTTGATGATGCAATATTTCATTTTTTAATATTTCCACAATGACAAAATTATAACTGGAGAATGAGTTAGTGGTTACTAGGAGTTAGGGATAGAGGCAGGCTTGACTCTAAAGGAGCAGTGTGGAAGAAATGTCTTTATGGTGGTGGGAGAGTTCTTTAACCTGATCATGGTAACGTAGTTATATAGTTATATATATGATAAAATCTCACATTATTATACAACAGAAATGTGCTCATAAAAGCTGATAAGACAGTACAAGACTGATAGTTAATCATGTTATAAAAAGGCACTTACCATTATGTAAGATGCTGTCTTTGGAGAAGCGAGAGGAAGCTTCCGTGTACTATTTTTGAACTTCCTGTGAATCTCACATTATTTAAAAATAGAAGGTCCAACACAAAACAATCAAAAAGGAAAATGTTCTGGACCTGTAGGTGAGACATCCCAAAGCAGGACTGACTTTCAGCGTGGCTTGTGCAGAAGGCCTCCTCTGCGGCCCTGCGCTGGCTCACTCATCTCTGCCCACAGCCTGGCACTGCTTTGCCCTCAGGGTGACTTTCTGTGGGAGTGAGTCGGCCCCCTGTCCCCAGAACCACATACTCTCTGCTCCCTTCAAGCCGGGAGGAAAAAGATGGTGCTGTCCCTTTCTTCAGCCAAGAAATTTTTAAAAAAATTTTTATTTTAAAGAGAAAAAAAATTCAAAACAAGATAATAGGAGAATAACAATAGTTAGTACATTGTGTATTGTATCTTTAAATGAATTACTCAAGGGCCAGGGAGATAGCTCAGTGGCACAGCACCTGCCTGGCAAGCCCAAGGTCCTGAGTTTGATTCCTGGTACCAAAAAAAATTAGTTACTCAGAGTACAAGATACCAGCATTTAATTTGTCCAAACAACATTGGTACAAACCTTTCTTTTCAATGAACTAAGAGAAATCAGTAGTATAATCATTTTAACTATCATATAATTATATATATATATTTTTTACTTTTCCCTTCTCCTTTCCTCCATCCCAGTTTCTCTTTCCTTTGAACAGTTTCTTCCCATTTTACAATATCTACTGTACATTTTGGATCTTATTCTCCCACTAGGGAGACAGTGCAGTGTTTACACATGTACGTCTGGTTTATTTCACTTATAAGTATGGAGTTGCATCCACTTACCTATAAAGTCTCCAGTTTACCCCTCTTTATGGCTAAGTAGTATTCTATTGTACAAAAGACCACATCTTTTGTTATCTATTCCTTGTTTGATGGGCATTTGGGTTTTTTTTCCAAAATCTAGCTATTACAAAGTGTGCTGCTATGAACACAGGTATATATATTGCTGTGGTACGATGTTTTTAATTTTCTGGGAAGATACCCAGCAGGAGAATAGCTGGGTCAAATGGGAACCCCAAAGGAAATTTGTTGAAAAGATTGTGCCTTGAGCTCTATTCTGATTGGAGCATCTAAGTCACCTGCCCACCCTGTAACCAATGACTGCAGCCTGGGAAATGCTATGCACTGAATGCCCGTCCCTGTAGTAAAGGGATAGCACTAGTTGTTGGCTCAGCTCAGAGAGGTTCCACTCCTGGAGCTGGTATGGGCCAGTCCTACCTGGGCGTAATTGGTGTTGTCCAGGCTGGACGCTGCGGGTTGGATAGCCAAGTCTTGAGACGTGGTGTCAGAGGTGCCATTATAATCTTTCTTTTTTTTCTTTTTTTTCTTTTTTTTTTGTCTTTTTGAGACAGTGTCTCACTTTGTAGTTCAGGCTGGCCTCAAACTCACAGTGATCCTCCTGCCTCAGAGACATTCTAATCTTAAATCATAGAGTTCACTAGGCAGAGAAGCTGTAACATGTCATTCCCAGCAGAAAAAAAACAGCACTAAGTCCCAGAGAGCAGAGGGGACAGCCCATTTGGGAGAAAATGAGGAATTCGGTGTGGCAAAGCTTAGTGATTTTTGAGGGAAGAGTGGTACTAACAAATCTGAAGAGGAAAGATGGGCCAGTTCACCAAGAGCTTTGAATGGCACCTCGGGATCACAGGTGATCTAATCTTCGAGAAAGATTAGAACCTGAACTCACTTGGCCTTAGAAAGAACACTCCCACCACAGCATGGAGGATGGGCAGCAGGGAGCCCAGCCAGAGGCTGTTCCAGGGGTCAAGGCAAAGCTGGAACCACCTAAGGTGGTGGCCTTGAGGACAGAGAGAAACGTGTGGGTGTGGCTGATGGTAGCTAGGTGGAGTCAGGTGGACCTGATGAATTGGCTGGTTTGGCCAGGGGTTGGTGGAGAAGATGTGAGAGATAATTTGAATTTCTGGCTTACACACTTGATACAGTGTTTTATCCAAAGAGGCAGGGAAAACCACCAACAAAATGAAGGAACAACCTACATTGTGGGAAAAAAAATTTTTCCAACTGTTCCTTAGACAAAGGATTAATACCTAGAATATATAAAGAACTCAGAAAAATCAGATTCCCCAAATGTAAAGACCCAATCCAAAAATGGTCATTTGAAACAAATAGATACTTCCCAGGTGAAGAAGTAGAAATGGCAAATAAATATATGAAAAAATATTCAGCATGACTGGTCATTCACAAAATGCAAATTAAAACAACTCTGAGAGTCCATCTCACCCCAGAAAGAATGGCCATTATCAAGAAATCAACCAGTAATAAATGCTGGTGGGCCAGATGTGGTGGTGCATGCCTATAGTCTCAGCACTCGGTAGGCTGGGCAGGAGGATTGCCATGATGTCAAGGTGAGTCTGGGCTATGTAGTGAGACTCTGTCTCAAAAAAAAAAAAAAGAGAAAGAAATGCTGATGGGACTGTGGGGAAAAAGGAACCCTTTCCACTGTTGGTGGGAGTGTAGACTGGTACAACCACTGTGGAAATAAGTGTGGAGGTTCCCCAAAAAACTAGAGCTAGAGATTCCATTTGACACAACTATTCTCCTTCTTGGTATCTTCCCAAAAGAGTTAAAAGCATCATACCACAGCCATATATGTACACCCATGTTTATAGTGGCACAGTTTGTAATAGCCAAATCTTGGAAACAGCCCAAATTCCCATTAACTGGTCAATGGGCAAAGAAGATGTGGTTTTTAAAAAATATACAATGGAGTACTACTCTGCCATAAAGAAGGATAGACTTGAGACATTTATAGCTAAATGGATGGACCTTGAGACCAAGGACCAAAATGTATAATAGATATTATGAAATAGAAAATGTTCAAATGGGATGGGAAACAAGGGAGGGGGAGGAAGAAAGGAAGGAAGGGAAAAATAAAAAAAATGAGAAAAGAAGGGAAAAATGGAAACAGCTTTTATAAATAAGGGGGAGAAGAGCACTTCTCTGTAAATTTGTAAATAAAGGGAGGATAGGGAAATGGGAAAAAAGAATCAAGTTATATCATGTATAGGTACAAATTCCCTATGATGAATGTGATCATTATGTATACCTAAAACATACCAATAAAAATCATTTTATTTGAAGAAGAAAATAAAAGAAAGAGGCAGGGATGCTCAGTTGTGTCCAAGGCTCCTGAGAAGTCAAGGAGGGGAGGAGTGACAATTGTCCATAGGATTTAGTGACAAAAATGTTCTTTGGGTTTTTTTATTTTTGCTTGTATGGTGTTAGGACAGAAAAATTTGAAGGTGTGGTGGGAGCAGAAACACAGTAAGTCACGCAGAAAAAGTCACGGGTGGGAGTGAGGAAAAATAAGGACAACTGCTCTGCCTTGTGAGCTCAGATATGAGGCAGAAAGAGGCTGAGGCAGTCAGTGAAGAGAATCAATATGTTTAAAAAGCACCCAGCATCCCCCTGCGTCCTGGCTGCACCTCAAGCCTGTATTCCTGTCTGCAACTGGAAGTTTTAACAGTGCCTAGCTCCGCTCATGGGGTTGTGGCGAAGTCCGGTCTTCCTGCTGCTAACCTTCCTTTCTCATCTGTCCCTGCCATTGACAGCCCCTAGTGTGTGACGCGGTGACTCGTCACGGAATCTTTGTTAACTGAGTGGTATAACTAAGACTGAACGTAGAGCACTCCCTGAGGGAAGTGCTAGAGTCTTGCTTTTCTTCTTCGGGTACTGGGAATTGAACTCAGGACCTCATGCTTGCCAGGCAGGTGCTGTGCCACTGAGCTACATCCTCAGCCCAGGAAGTGCTGGAGAAGCTGGGCCGGGCTGTGATTCTGATGAGGACACTCGCTGTTTTTCAGGCCCCCAGGAGGTGCCTGACCAGCAAGGCTCGAACACAGTCATGGTGACGGTGGAGCCCGGAGGGAGCCCTCTCAGGCACAGTGATGGCTTCTTGAACTCACGACTGGAAAATGAGGAGGAGCAAGCTGTGGACTCCAAACAGCTCCTCCAGCGCTGCTTTATAGCCACAGTGACTGCCAGCGACATTCCAGGCAGTCCAGAGGAAGCCACTGCCCCCGACCCTGACCCCGACCCCGACCCCGACCCAGACCCATGTGGACCAGTCCCATAAACACCTAATAAACGCGACTGCACCATCCCTCCCAGAGTCTCTTTCCAGTGAAAGGCGGTGTGAAGACGGTGAGAGGGTCTTTGGAGTCTGGCGGGATAAATGAGGGCTTTTGCCGTGTCTTGCTGTAGACCCAGCTACGCTGATCCAGTGGCCCAAGTGAGGGCCGCGATGGGATGTGAGCGCCACGAGAAATGGCCAATAGCAGCTCCACAGGATCAGCGAGAAGCCTGGGGCCTGTGGAAGTCAGAGAGCCTTGACTTGGTTTCCCCACCCCAGAGCAGGTGTATTTAGAACCCTCTGGAAAAGGGATCAAAACTCAGACAGGGATCCCTGCCTCTCCAGCCACTCTGCTCTGCCCACCCTGGCAGGAGCCCCGCCACCCCCCAGGAGCAGAAGGAGAGGGAGGGTGGTACGCACAGCACACACACTGGGATGAGCCTTCATCCCATCCCCTAGAGGGTGAAGAGGGCACGGGTGTGTGAGGAAATGTGTGTCACAGACAGAACCAGGCTCAGAGGGTGGACTAGGCCAGTTCCTGGCCCTTGCGGCCTTGCTAAAGACCCTTTCCCTGAGCCTCAGTTCTCTTGCTAGGTTATTCCAAATGTTTGATAAAGTGATGGTTTTAAACTCACTGGGTAAACATTAAAATGCTAAAAGAATTTTTATATCACAGATAGATGTTTTCCCATAGAACACAGTCACGAAGAATAGGAACTCTGGAGCCAGAGGCCTGGTTAAAATCCTGTCCCTGCCCCGTGCTGAGCAGCCGCTGTGCCCCGATTCTCCCATCTGTGCAGTCAGGGAAACTAGCAGTACTCACACGCTAGGGCTTGTGGGAGGATGACAGTATTTAGTCCATCCAAGTACTTCGGTCTTGGCAAACCGAAGGTACTGTGTGTTTGACTTGTTGCTGACAGTTTTATTACTAAGCCAATCTTCTACTATCCTAACCATAGAAGGCTTGATGTTTTGCCTTGGGAGTGCAAGGCAAGGGTGAGGGGACTCAGCAGCTACTGACAGCAGCTCTTGGTATATCAGATGGTGACATGGTCTGCTGCCAGACCTGGCACCAGGGAGGTGGTCGCTCTTAGATATTTGTGCAGTTGGTAGGGTAGGAAGGCCAGGGGAGCTGCCCGCAGAAGGACCCCGGCTGCAAGTCAAAAGCTCCTGCTCTGATCTTGCTTTCTTCGGTGTGTGTGGTCTTTTATTCTCACCACTCTAACTCTGCACGTTTGTCCACCATAGGCCCTTGCTGCCGGCCACTTAGCTTCATACCCTTAAGTTCGATTGCTTGCTGCTGACCAAACCAAAGGAGGCCATGCGTCTGCTAAAGAGGAAAAGAGGATGCGTACAAAGCCAGCTCTAAGGAGACGGAGAGGCCAGTTTGCCTCAAAGCACCTTCGCACCTTGAACAGGTGGGTTAGAGACTTATAGGAAGGAACAGGGAAGGGAGCAAAGGGAAGACACAGTCTCGGTGCTTGTGTTATCTGCAACCCTCTGGCCCTTTTTCTGCGGACCGGAACCCTGGCTTCTGCTTCCTGGGGTGGGCATCTTGGATATTCTCTCACTTCACCCAAGCTGAGGGGAGGAGGCGGGTTATGTGCTCAGCAAGAGAAAGTTTAGAGAAAATGCTTATTTCTACACAAAAAGCCTAAGGTTTAATGTTCATCTTCCAGCACCGGTTCCACACTCAGTGGCATCTGTTCTATGCCAGGCCCATGCAGTTGCCAGGAACAGAGGGGCTCACATGAGCGTGAGGCTGGCATGCGGAAAGGCAGTGGGCCTTCCGGTGGCGCCTCACACTCCAGGGAGGAAGATCAGAGCCTGAGCTGAGTCATCAAAGATGAGTCAAAGTTTCCAGGTGAGGCAGGGTTGGAAGACATTATGGTCAGTGTACAACCCGTTCAAAAACGGTGCAAAGAGCCCAAGTCATTTGTTATGAGGGCCCTTAGGATACTATGCAGACGTGTATGTGTGCGTGCGTGCATGTGTGCGTTGTATGTGGGTGCTGGCGGTGAGTGACAGTGAGGGGGTGGGGGTGTAGTCACTGATGCTGATGGTGACCCTTCATACGATACGCCTCTTCTCTGTCCTTGGTACGCTCCTCAGTAAAATTTAATTTTTCTCTGTGCTGGGCCTTCTGGGAAGTTGCCAAGGAGGAGAACCTGATGACAGGGCCCTGGCCTGTAGGCTGGTCACAGCCTGGCAGGGGGAGATGAATCTGCAAGTTCTAAAAGCTTAAGTGGCCTAGTACGGGCCTGGGCAGTGATTCGCACACTTCTGCCTGCAGCAGAGTCAGTGGGGGGTCTGTTGAAACACAGGTTAGTGTGGTGGTGCATGCCTGCAATCTCAGCACTCTGGGAGACTGAGGCGGGAGGATTGGCAAATTCAAGCCCAGCCTGTGCAACTTTGTAACTTAGTGACACCTTGTCTTAAAAAAAAAATTAATAATCATAATAATAACAGCTGAGGATGTAGCACACTGAAAAGGCTCAATTGAAGTTCAATCCTCAGTGCCACAAAAAGCAGTACTAGGCCAGGTGTGGGGGCGCACACCTGTAATCCCAGCACTCAGGAGGCTGAGGCAGGAGGATCGCTGCGAATTTGAGACCAGCCTGGGCTACAAAGTGAGCTGAAGGCCAGCCTGAACTGCATAGCAAGACCCTGTCACACAAAAAAAGCAATAATAAAATTAAAAAGTAAAAAATTGAAAAATATAAGTTGCTGCTCCTCACATTCCCCAAACCTCCCTGCCAGGGTCTGGGCCAGAAGGGCTGGAATAAATCCCTAGTATTTGCATTGCTAACAAGTCCCCCAGTACTGCTCTGCTGCAGCTCTGGGGCCACCCTTACAGCACAAAGACCGGAGGGACAAGGACAAGCTTCGAGGCCTCTGGGCACTGAGGCTAGGAAGAGACTTCTCAAGGTGCCGGGCCCTGAAGACCTGCTAGAGTCCCCGTCCCCACCCCGGCCTATGTGTACAGGGTGGGCACAGTGGGGGACAGAATGTGTGTCCCTACACAGCCTGGGCCCGCAGAGCCCCCGCCCCACTGAGTGCAGTGTCTCTCCTTGGGATACAGTCCACCTCCATACCGGGCTCTCACTGGGGCCCACCTGTGTGAACCCCTCTTGCACTGCCCTTAGGCAGGAGCCCTCCCCCAGGGCGCCCAGCAGGGTGGAAGCGGGGTGGGCTGATGCACAGACAGAAATAGTCTGAGCTCACCGCTGCTCACAGGCACAGATCGACCAGCAATTATTTCTTGTAAATTGCTTTCCCGGTGATGTTCAGAACATGTGTGTGTGTGTGACTGCCTGAGAACAAACACTCTGAGGGCCCGGGGAGAAGGTGAGGGAGGGAGGGGCTGCAGACGGAGAGGAGCCTTAGTCCAAATCTTCAGCCACACATTAGAGCATGTTGAGTGCTGGGGCTTGGGAATATTACAACTGTCTGCCTTCTTGAACTCCCTGCCTGGTGGGGTTCTAACTCTCCTCCCACATTTGCCTTGGTTTGTCTCTTTCAACACTGACTGACAGTGATTCTTTTTCAGGCTCAGTGAGGGGATCCCGGTCCCAGGGTCCTAGGAGTTCCTGCCTATCTGTAAATGTCTACAGGAGTTAACACCAAGGACCCAGTCAGGACTGTGGGCAGGCTTCCTGGAGAAAGTGGCACCTGATCTGTTGTGGGGAACCCACTGGCCGCTGAAAGGGGGCTTCTGATTTGGAGGAGGAACAGCATTCAAGGGAAAGAGAAAGGCAGACAGAGAGGCCTATTGCTTGGAAAGGGCATATGGTCATTTGAAGGTAGGAGAGAAGTAAATATAAAAGAGACAAGGAACATCATAATTTTTAAATTGCACTTTTAAGAAAACTGCAGCTTCAGGACACAATTAAAATTGCCCAAGGTTACCATACATTTGTGTGGTGTGTGTGTGTGTAGAGACAAGGTTTTGCTATACAGTTCAGGCTGGCCTTGAATTTACAGCAATCTGCCCACCTCAGCCTCCCATGTGCTGGCATTATAGGCATGCACCACCATGCCTGGCTTGTGTGTGTGTTACAGGGGATTAAATCCAGGACCATGGCACTGAACTTTATACCCAGGCCACTTTTTAATTTTTTTTTTTTTGTCTTTTTGTCTTTCTTTTTTTGGTCTTTTTTTTTTTTGTCTCACTATGCATATCAGGCTGGCCTTGAGCTCCCTTTGTAACCCAGGGTGGTCTCGAATTTGCAACTATCTTCTTGCCTCAGCCTCCCAAATGCTGGGATTACAGGCGTGCACCACCATACGCAGCCACTTTTTAATTTTTATTTTGATATAGAGTCTTATGAAGTCACTAATTGGCCCAGGCTGGGCTCAAACTTTCAATCCTTCTGCCTCAGTCTCCTGGAGTTCTGGGATTACAGTTGTGCACCACCACACCCAGCTACAATACTTTCTTTTTTCACTTCCAGGCAAATCACCCCAGAATTCTTAAGGGTCTCAAAAGATAAAATGAGAGCCAATTGTGGTGACCCCACACCTGTAATCCCAGCACTATGAGGCTGAAGCAGAAGGATTGTGAGTTCGAGGACAGCCTAGACTATAGAGGGAGCCCCTGTCTAGAAAAACCAAACAACAAAAAGGTACAGCAAGCCTGTAAACCGTGCCTGTGTCTTTCTCCTGTAAATTGGGCCTGTGCTTTTCTCCTGGTATTATATATTTACAAATCCCACAGACTTTCACCCTCAAGCACTGTTCATTGGGTACTGTATCTTTAAACTTCAAATGGAAGCAAATGGTTTGCAACCTAACCTAGCCCCCTGGAGGGTAACGACAGACACTAGTGTATGACAGACACTAGGAATACGGGTGCTGGGTTAGTCTTGAGGGCACCCTCCGAACACATAGATACCCCAAGCACCAGGCCATAAAGCTCCCTGGTCCTTGGGTGCCTACACTGCCTTCTGAGTACATATTTCCCAGGCGCTGCTCATGGATGCTCCCTGAAGTGTTTTCTGTCACAAGTGCAGAGCCTCCTGCCT